CTGTCTCTAATAGCAACCCGGGTTACTCGGGTTTGGGCAGGCCGATTGAGACCCGAGCGACCCGAGTAACCCGGGTTGCTATTAGAGACAGTTCGGGCAAGACATGAAATACATGAATCATTGAGAGGCGTACGCATGTCCGACCCAAACCTAACTCCGAGCGCTTCTTCGTAAGCACCCAATGTTTCCATTTTCGTGCACACAGCACGGAACACAACCAAAACGTCATCTTCGTTATCCGCTTAGCCCAAACGTGTACATTGGCTACGTAGTTGATGTCCACGTTTTCAATTAACATAGAGGGCGTTTCGCGGTTCGAGGATCACGTAAAAACCGGACCCGTGGCAGCTCTCACGTTTCTCTCTGCCCCGTGGACGCGCGTTCGACGCACAGAGGGCACGTCATTCGTGCACCGTGGAAACAAATGGAGACCGCTCGTGTCTCCAGTGTCGCGGAAATTAATATTAATTAATACCGTAGCTAGCAATAACGTTAAATGAGTGCGCGATAGAGTTTGACGGACGTTTCGTGTATTTAATTTAGAATAATATAACAGGTCCGGAGTCGAATATGGTGCGGAATAGCGACAAGTAAGTGATGCTCGGCGGTTGAGGTTATGACACGCGTTCCGCTCCCGTTCGTTATCTCGAGGGCTGATTGGCAAATGAACGTTTTCCCGCAGGGACAGACACCACCGGCGGAGGTCGAGGTCGAGGTCGAGATCGAGATCGGGCGAGCCCGAGAAGAAGCGACGGCGGTCCAGGAGCAGGGAGCGCGAGAGGGAGAGAGACAAGGGGCGACATCGCGAGCGACGGAGTCGTTCGCGGGACAGAGACAGGGAGCGGGGCGACAGAAGGGAGCGCTCCGAGAGGGACAGGGATCGCGAGAGAAAACGGTATACCCTCCTGCAGGCAGTTTGAGCAAACTTAATCCGAAACAATTGTTCGCAATTCGCACTGACTTGCCTCTCTGATCACACTTTTTTTTTATGGAAGATGTTTTCGACAATCGTACTCGTAACAACGAAATAATTCAGTGACATTGATTGTTCTCGGTATACTAGTGGAGACAGTAAAGAAAAGCGTCTTACAGGCTCGAAATCCTCGCGCTCCGGCAAAGAACGGTCGAACAGGTCTCGCTCGCGCGACAGAAAGGATAAAGAGAAGGGGGACAATGAGGAATTGCCGTTCGATCACACCAAGTTGGACAAGGTGAGCGTTTTACATTACGCGGGGGGTGTAACGCGCGGTGTAACGTGGCGATTGATGTTGCAGGAGGAAGAGCAGAAAAGGCTGGAGTTGGAAATGCAAAAGAGAAGGGAGAGGATAGAGAGATGGCGTGCGGAAAGGAAGAAGAAAGAGCTGGAAGCGACCAAGAAAGACGGTAAGACATCTATTTTGGCAAATCTTCAGCTACCCATGAAAAAGTGGTCCCTTGAGGATGATAGTGACGAAGAGACTCCTGTGGTACAGAATAACAAGGAGGCAAAAGAAGAAGGTGTAAGGGAAGAAATTGAGGAAGTGATGGAAGAGGTGAAAGATGAAGAGGAGGAGATTGATCCGCTTGATGCTTTTATGGCCGAGGTAAGTGCTGCTGTAATTTATATTGGCCCGAGTCAATTCCGCGTGTATATTTATGTCCAAAATGTTTCAATAGGTGCAGGAAGAAGTGAGGAAAGTGAATAAATTTGATAACAAGGCTCCAAAAAGTGCCAACAATGGCACGAATTCTGCATCGCAGAGTGGCGGCGTGGTCATTATGACCGGAGTGGCAAAGAAAAAGGTGCAGAAACAAAAGGGGGAATTGATTGAGCAAAATCAAGACGGACTGGAGTATTCCAGCGAGGAGGAGGGCGAGAATCTTCACGAGACCGCGGCTGGCATTGCGAACAAACAGAAGCGGGAATTAGCCAAGGTTGATCATGCCACTACAGATTATCAGCCGTTCCGAAAGTCCTTCTACGTCGAAGTGCCTGAGATTGGTATGTATACAGGGTGTTACGTAATACCCGCCTCGCCTCTTATTTGCGGATGGTGCGGACTAGACTAATCGTAAGTCGATAAGTCCTCTACCATTTTGTAATCTTTGCAATAGTTAACGAGTTATTAAATATTAAAAATCGCTATCTTAGCCTGGCCTACCGCGCAATTCAAGCGCTGCGTATAATAAACGACTCCCCCGCGCGCCTAGCAACGTCGATTGCGGGACGGCCGCATCTCGCCGCGCGTTTGAATTGGCCGGTAGGCCGGAGTAAGCGATTTTTAATAATTAACAACTCGTTAGCTGTTGCGAAAATTGTAAAATGCTAGAGGACTTCTCGACTCCGCCTGGTCCACTCTACCCGTAAATAATAGGTGAGGCGGGTGTTACATAAAACCCTGTATATCAGGGTATATATTTTTAATGATTTCCGCTGTTGTACAAATAAAATATATACAATATGTACTCGTAGCGAGAATGACGTCAGAAGAAGTAGAGGCATACAAGGAGGAATTAGAAGGCATTCGCGTGAAAGGTAAAGGTTGCCCGAAGCCCATCAAGTCCTGGGCGCAGTGCGGCGTGACCAAGAAGGAATTGGAAGTATTAAAGAAACTCGGTTACGAGAAACCGACGCCCATTCAATGCCAGGCGATCCCGGCGATCATGTCTGGCCGCGATCTCATAGGCATCGCGAAAACCGGTAGCGGAAAAACGCTTGCCTTTCTCTTACCGATGTTTCGTCACATACTCGACCAACCACCGTTGGCAGACGGTGACGGACCGATTGCGTTGATCATGACCCCAACTAGGGAACTGTGCATGCAAATCGGTAGGGATTCGAAAAAATTCACCAAGTCACTGGGCTTGTCGCACGTGTGCGTTTACGGCGGTACCGGTATTTCCGAGCAAATAGCAGAACTTAAGAGAGGGGCGGAGATCATTGTGTGCACACCGGGAAGGATGATCGACATGCTCGCGGCTAATAGCGGGCGAGTAACGAACTTACGCCGGGTGACGTACGTGGTGCTTGACGAAGCCGACAGGATGTTCGACATGGGCTTCGAGCCGCAGGTGATGCGTATTATGGAGAATGTCAGGCCGGATAGACAGACGGTGCTGTTTAGCGCAACGTTTCCGCGACAAATGGAGGCGCTAGCCAGGAGAATACTCACGAGACCGGTCGAGGTCCAGGTCGGCGGACGTTCCGTCGTTTGCAAGGATGTGGAGCAACATGTTGTTGTACTCGAGGAAGATCAGAAGTTCTACAAGTTGCTTGAAATCCTTGGACATTATCAAGACAAAGGCTCCACCATTATATTCGTAGACAAGCAAGAGAACGCGGACACGTTGCTTAAGGATCTTATGAAGGCTTCGTATTCCTGCATGTCCCTTCACGGCGGTATAGACCAATGCGACCGAGATTCAACTATATTGGACTTCAAGGCGGGACGAACAAAGTTGCTCGTGGCCACGTCCGTCGCCGCTAGGGGCTTGGACGTAAAGCACTTGGTGTTAGTCATCAATTACGATTGTCCCAACCACTACGAAGATTACGTGCACAGATGTGGTAGAACTGGTCGAGCCGGAAATAAAGGGTAAGATGAATCTTTTACGATGTAATCTTTTTACGATATAAAGTGTTTTATTTATTTCAAATTTATGTTTTCCCTTTAGATACGCGTACACCTTTATTACATCGGAACAAGAACGTTACGCCGGCGATATTTTACGTGCGTACGAGTTAGCGGGCGTACCCGTTCCAGAGCCTTTGCGCCAATTATGGGAAGGTTACAAAGCCCGTCAAGCCGCGGACGGAAAGAAGGTTCATACCGGAGGTGGTTTCAGTGGCAAAGGATTTAAGTTCGACGAATCGGAGGCTGCCTTGGCGAACGAGAAAAAGAAATTCCAGAAAGCAGCCTTGGGACTGCAGGATTCTGACGATGAGGACATAGAAAACGATATCGATCAACAGATCGAGAGTATGCTGGCACCTAAGCGAACCGTTCGTGAAATAGCCAAACCGACCGCGACCAGTATTACGGTGCCCGGTCAACCGATACCTAGTGCTACTGATAAGCTCGAATTGGCCAGACGATTGGCGTCGAGAATAAACATTGCAAAGAATCTGGGCGCCGAGGCGAAAGGCGCAACTCAACAAGCAGCGGAAGCTATACTCAAGGGTGCAGGACCAACAAATCTGATTACGGTGAAATTTTTGTTCAAGTGTTGCTGCAATAATTTTGCTATCGTATAACTAAATAATTTTTTCTTCTTTTACACAGGCAAAGACAGTCGCGGAACAATTGGCCGCGAAGCTGAACACCAAATTGAATTATCAGCCGCGCGAGGAAGATCTCGTGGAGAGCGACGTAGAGACGGGCGAGCAAACATTCCGCAAGTACGAAGAGGAACTCGAGATCAACGACTTCCCGCAACAAGCGAGATGGCGCGTCACGAGCAAGGAGGCTCTTGCCCAGATCTCGGAATATTCCGAGGCGGGTCTGACAGTGAGAGGAACGTATATCGCGCCTGGGAAAACGCCACCGGAAGGCGAAAGGAAGTTATACCTGGCAATAGAGTCGACGAGCGAGTTGGCAGTCAGCAAGGCCAAGGCGGAAGTGTCTCGACTCATCAAGGAGGAACTCATCAAACTGCAGGCGTCTGGCGCTCACACCGCGTCGCGAGGTCGATACAAAGTTTTATAAAATTTTGGAATCATTTTAACGAGGTATGGCGTGATATATATGCGGATTCATACATGTCACATACGAATATGTATATGATAAAAGTTTAGAAATTTATTATACATGCAAATGTTTGTCTTTAACATTACAATAACAAAATATACTTAACGACTGAGAGCATTATTTATATCATTGGCACAAACCACCGCAGGCAATCCAAGTTTTCGCACATTTATAAATAAAATGCGAGCACTTACATTGTCCCCTTAACTAGTTCTATTGTATTAATTTATCTATACAAAATAAAAAAAACTTCGAACGAACGCTCAGCAGCGTAAAACCGTACCTACGCCAGAAAAATCGTACATTCATATAGCAGTTGCATTCTTAATAAAATCCTTAAAAGGCTAATTTTTCTTATCGTTAAAAAAATAACAAAAGTCAAGAAAATGAAACTTATTTCTTTGATCTCTTTGAGTGACGCTTCGAGCTTTTGCATAAAAATCACATTTGTGAACACACAATGTACTAATGTCGATCGATACGCACTCTAATATGTATAAAACTTACGTTTACAGAGTCTTTTTATTTATAATTTATGAGCAGTTCACGATTACCCGCGGCAACATTACGAATCACGCAGGAAATCCTATATTTTTGTACATCCAACTCTCATGTACTCTTTCCTCTTTGGCAGTATTAAGTAATTGATAACTAAAAATACATTCTACTGTACGCTATTACAAGGCACTAGAAGAATCACAGACACGAGACACGCTGTAGACATTCGTCGCCGCGAATGGCATCGCGATTAGGTAAAGAAGTGCTTTCAGCACCAAGAATGAAGGGGAAAACAAGATTGATCGCTCATAGCTGCAACTATCCTTGGACGATAACGAATCTCGGATATTTCATCAGTTAAAATACATCTTTAAATACTTCGGGCTGGACAGAGAATAAGCGACGTATCTCATTTTCCTATTGGCGTGATCGTAATTCAGGATAAAACGTTTAGCAAGAGGGTGGTAACGATAATTGTCGCGAGCCAAGCACGAATTTCCATGGCACTAGAAACGTAACCGTGGGCTATCTCGGCCCTGGTCAGCGGACCCAGAGGTACTTCCGCCGCGACCCGGGGACTCCTCTCCGAAATCCTGGTGACGAGCTTCTCCGTCTCTGCCACGCAAGCTCGCAATTGCAGCGCCGACAACTTCTTGGTAACGGGCTGTACGACGATGAAGATATCGCGATCGGGCGTCATCATGCCACGAACAATGCATTGCGCCACTTGCAACTGGCGACCTAGAGCGGCCAGGAGAACTTCTAAGGTAACGGTGTCTTTGTCAGTTTCCTCGTCCATCATGTAGTAGATCCTGTCCAGCTACAAGTGAAAAAAACGAATGTTCAGAAAAGACTGACTAAAAAAAAAATTCATCAATATTACAACAAATTAATAAAATTCACAAGGCTCTCGTGTGATAAACACAGATTCGAAGGAATAAAGACTAAAGAGCCGTGACAGGATGTCAGTGGCTAAATAATTGTTATTTTAAAATGGCGAAGAATATTACCTCCGCCAAGGTTTCAATATTATAATTTACAAAAATATTCTATTCTTTGTATTGCATTGTCTTTCAAGATAACATAAACGTCTAAAAGAAATGCGCAAATCTGAAAGACACCTCGCTTCAGAGTATATCTACCTGTTTCTTCGAGTAGAACAATTTTGCCGCTCCTCCGCAAACAGGACAACAAGCACCGGGCGGAGTAACCCCGATACAATACGGCTCCTGTAGGGCAGGACACTGCACGGCGTCGCCGCAACGAGGTTTCGCCTGGTCCCCTATGAGACCGACGGCGACGCAAGGACCTTGATAGTCCACGACGGATCTCTCGGCCCAAGCCGCGCATTCACTAGCGTAGACCTCGCCGTTGATGCCGCACACTGGACCACGAAGGCTGCAGCCTTTCAGACAGGGTCCTCTGTAATTCAGGGTGGCTCCAGCCCGGATCATCGCGCACACGGAGGGATACTGGCGATTCTCTCGATCGCAGACTGGTCCGCTGGACTCGTCGCGCGGATTGCAGTCTATCGGCACGCACTCGTACTGCTTACACGGTTTGTGCAAACGCGACAAGCAGACCCTGGGTCTACGGACGCACTTCTCCGAGCTGTCGCAGGGATTAGGCGTGCAGGGATCCTTACTGGAGCAGCTGCCGAATTCCACTTCGGTAGCCGACAGCTCGGCGCATTTCGCGAGGCAGGCGGACGCGAAGGTGAAGCCCAGCCTGCCGCAAACCGGAACGTAATGAGCCGGGCAGTCGCAGGGCAAAGACGGCACTCGGTGCTCGCCACAGCTCCTCTTGGAACACGTGAATTCGCCTTCGAAACAGTGGCAGGGATTGCACTCGAGGTAGAAGTTGGTCTTGTGCTGGATGAATCGGTCGTGCACCCAGCAGGATTTGAAGTTGAAGCAATTGAGGGTACGGCACTTCTCCAGGCCGCGCTTCGTGCACTGGCAGATCTTCAGGCAACTCTGCTGATCGTACCGCGGAATCTGGATCCAGGATCCAACCGACACCAATTGCTTCGACATCTCGCCGAGGGAGCAAGCCGGCACGCAACGATATACCTTGGGGTTGTTCGGTTGGAGCACGCAGAGCTGACCGTGTAGACAAGGATTCTGCTTGCAGGGCGTTGTAATGTCCTCATCGGGATGGATCATAGCCACGTCATCCCGCGGACCATCTAGGAACGGCTTTAACGAGACGCACGGCGCGTCCGGCCTCCCCGGCGACAGCTTGGCGCACAAGGTAGCCGCTGTGTGAGGTCCGGTAATCGCGCTCCAGTCCACGCAGCTCGCCATCAGCTCCAGACAATCCTCGCGGCAGAGCTGCGTCTCGTGGATTCTGGCCTCGCAAGGTCGCAGCTGCAAAAGACAGGCCGCCGTGCGTAGAGTCTCCGCCGGGCAGGAAGCGGCGACGCGCACGGGCACACTTAAACCGCGAATAATGCCTCCTCTGGACCAATGATCAGCCTCCCATTTGGCCGCATCGTCGGCCGCAGTCGTGCACGACCTAGCAAAACGTTAAATATTCGATTACGACGAGCCCAAGTTTCGCAAAAGACTTAAAATTTTACCGACGTTACTTGGAGATTTTGGATACTCAAATTCCGAAGTGCTGAGCTTGAGTTTACTTACAAACTATTGATGCGACGAGACCTTAATCTCACGATTCATACCTAAACAAAGTCGTAGGTCTGTCGTTAAACCGCGCACAGTAAGACAATCCCGAACAGCCCATCTCGCAGGAGTCATCCGCGTCTTCGATACACCTTCTCAGTTCACCCTCTAAACTGGACGAGAGGCACATTGCGTCAAGCTGTGGCCAAGCGGTCTCCCAGTCTGCCTGGAAGGCCCGCCAGCACAAATTCTGGCAGAAGGGCCTCGTCGCCTTCGTGCAACACGCCAGTTTGCCGGCGTCCAAGGGTAATCGCTCCGGCTTCGTCGAGCCTGATTTCAGCAAGCAGCTCCACATCGGCGACTGCGGTAACACGGGACTGCACTTCTCCGTCAGGGCGTCCATGATCTCCTGGTCGGTCGTCGCGGTGTGAAGGGTCCTGCGACACGTGTCCAGGCACGCTGAAGTCGTGGCTTCATCGCAGCAGTGCAAATCTGCAGAGATAGAATTAGCTAAATTCGATGGCGCGGATACTTCAAATAATCCGTTTGCTGATCTTTACAACGCTGTTTCTTCTTTAGATGTAATTACATTTTAATACTATTGAAACTGAACTCAAATTCAGTAATCGGCGCGCCTACTCTGTACAGGTCGAATCACGAATTGCATAAAATGTTAACTAACGTTGCTTCGGATCCTCAGCATGCTTCACCTCGGCTACGCTCTTCAGGCACTTGGGAACCTGATGGAAGCAACCCTTGCTGCTGTACAGCTTCAAGCTGGATTGCTTGCCGGGCTTGTAAAAGATATTCTTGCAGATAGTCCTGCACGTATCATTGGAAACGTTGTTGCAGCATCGTTCGGCTTCCTCGCGCTTTTCTAGACAAAAGAAAAACTCTGACTCGTCGCTCGGTCGGCAGGACTCGTTCAGATCGTTTGCCGAGCCGGACAGAGCGCAGGTCGTGCGACACGTTGGATTCTGAGCGAGATAGCAGCAGCCTCGACCCGTCCAATTCTCGTTCCTCTTGAGCTCTGTAAGAATTCAAACGTCTCGGTATTTTGCGGTAACACTGCTGCACATTTGGACACCCAGAACGCTTACCATTTAACGTCGTGTTCACGCAGGACCAAAAATCCATCTGGAAAAGAAGATTCGGGTGTAAGGAAAGATAGTTGCAAAAAAAAAGAGAGGAAAAAGAAAGAAAGGAAGTGATGAAGAAAGTGAAGTGGCACAATCGACCGATCGCGCGACCGCGAGTCCCGAGATCGTCTTTCATAAAATCGTCACCGCGAAATGAAAAAAAAACGTGGATCGCGTTACAAACATCCTAAATCGTTTAAGGCGCCCATTGTCGAGAGGCTTCCGATCCAGGGCTGAATAAAGAAGAACAGACGAGTGTCGATCGCGTGGGATCGAGTGTTCGGGATAAAACTCGTGCGGCAACTCACCTCATGGCTCATGGGACAAAACTCCTGGAGACGTTTCGTGGCGTTTTCCCGCGCTTCGATCTCGGCACCCAGGACTACCAGGGATATCTACAAAATTGCGGCGACTCACGTTAACAAAAGGATACACGTTGCAAAGATTATAGAATTACAAAGAACGGTCGCAGCACGAATCGAATTTATTTCAGAACGCCGGGGATCTCGGGGATCTAAAATTACCACGGAGGGAAGAATATAAATGGCAATAAAGTAGCGACAGAGGAAGCTCGTTGCATAAATGTGTAAATTATCCCGACGAGTTGAATTTCGAGGCGTTAACTTCCCGGCTGACTCGAGCCCGCACGCCGAGGACTTCCCAAATTCGAAATGCGGCGCGGCGCATTAGCGACCATTAAGAATCAAGGACACGAATGCAGCACGCGGGCCCCCGCGATTTCCTGTTGCCCGTCGCTGAATGACAATCGTCCTCGGGGCCAGATATCGCTCGCGCCTTTCGTTCTCATCCCGGATTCAATCGGTGTCCTCCGCGAGGACACGCCGGATCCACTCGGTATGTCCATCACGGCCAGGAGTTACGACCATCCATCAACATGCGGTGGGTCTCGACGGGCCCCGGCACAAAGGTCACGCTCGACCGCGGAACGTAAATCATCGATCGCTTGTTCGTATACCTTTTTTTCGAGTAGCAATTTTTTTAATTAACATGCAGCTTCGGCTGCAGACGTTGAATATATTTTTTTTTCACATTGCATTTTGATGAATATGTTACAAGCCACGTATGTTAAGCGACTGTGCGTTTCTGCCGGCATTTTTATTAACTTCCTCACTGAAAAGGGTTTTATTCTGCAATTCAATAACATTAAACATCACCAGAATATTTCTACCAGGTTGGGCTATTATAAATGTTAGAGGTGAAAGTGATGCGGAGCTGAGAAAACGTACGACGTACGTATTTCCGTCGCGGTATATTCTGGGAAGGTATGCGCAGCCGGGTCATGTTGCCATGTTGAAAGGGTGCATTTTCCACCGGCAAATTTTTCGCGGCGGTTTCAACGCGCCGAGCGAATATATCGACGACAGAAAATTATCTATTTTCGGCTCGACACAAGTGTCTCAAGTTCACAGCTTGTTCCCGAACAATGATAAACGATTGGGACGACGCGAGAATCGTATCGCCGTTTCCTCGATTGTCGATCGTAATTGAAATTGACATGGAAAGCGCTACGGTTCGCGAAAATTTAAAACGAATGTTACTTCGCGGCTCGTATTTCTCGGACCAGATAAATCAGACCTCGACGGCCCCCGAGCGAGAGACGAGATCAAAAGATACCGAAAATAGAGCCGCGAGCTTTCATAATTTGCCCCGTGCTCTCATTTGCCGAACTCCCGAACGACGCCACGAACGGCTGCGAGGTGTCGGTCGACTAATTAAATCAGTAATCATCCGCAGTTCTCCCCGATATAACGAACCGCTGTATGTACTCAGCCTTTGTAGAAATTATAAGTAATATTAGTAGAGCAAAGTCCCCTATTATGAGATAGGATCCTAATATGGGATAGCGGAGTTTCTGTTAAATTAATAGGCATCATCAGTCGATTCCACCATGAATTATTGCCCTTGGGGCGAAATCTGTTCGGTAAAAAGATTCATTGTTAGATTGTACAATCGTTGCAAAAAAAGATTTGTCATTGAATTTGGATGTTGAAAACCTGCTATCTCAGAATATGCATGCATATACATATAGAATTTTCCTCTACACTGAGAAAAAAAATGTGTTGAATCAAGAAATACTTTTCGATTCAACTATATGCGGCGATCACAAGCTGGCAAGCAAGTATTTATCAATTCGTAAAAATATTCGTCAATTCATAAATATACAGGGTGAGGAAAAAGTATGAAAACCGCGAAATTTTTCCAAAACTATGCATTTTAGAAAGAAATGCTTGGGACAGACGCAGACACTGCTGACCCGAATAAGAGAGAGAAAAAACCCCACGTGTTCCCGATGAAGAAGCGTCTTCTTGCCCATCTCAAGAATAACTTGTCACACATCTCGGAGCCTCCGTCACGATTTCCGGTTATTTCGCTGCTAAACGGTCAAGAAGGAAGCGCTCATCAGTAGTCAGGCAACATCCGAAGAGACTGCTTTCTCCAAGTTTTTCTGCACCTCGCGTTATATCGTGTCTCACATTTCAATTGAGCAATAACGTCGCGAGGAAAGGAGTACCGAGAAACGCAGAACGCGCTGAGAGCATCGCGAGAAATTATGTCGACAAGTCTTTTGTAAAAAAAAAACAACCCCCGACTTCATCTCGGATACAAGACTTTGAAGCATATTGATATCGCGAATAAATTCACATCGCGCCCTGCGCAGCAGTAAAATATCCTTTACGAACGTGGTCCTCCACGCGCGCGTCCATTCCCGCAATCGGAAATCAGCGAGAGGTTACTCGAAGTACGTGTTTCCGACCCCTCCCCCTCCCCTGCCCCCCCCCCCGCCCCGAATAAACTGCGTGGAGACACGATATCATTGATAACGCGCGGTGCGTCCACCGTGTTCAACGCGTCAATTCGTAATATTTGCGTATGAATGAGCCCGCGGGGCGCCCCGGGTCTCGCGTAAATCTCGCAGCGGGCCCCCGGTGTCTCCGATATTATCTTCGAGGAGGAGGAGGCTCCCGCAGTCACCTCTAAAGAAGCTGCAGCCGGGACGCACCCCACGTCGAGGTACCCTCATCGAAGGAAGCACCGAGGTACCCTCGTCTTTTTTTTCCCCCGCCTATCCATTTCCATTCTCCCTCCCCCTCCCCCTCCCCCTCCCTCTCTCTCTCTCTCTCCTTCTCTGTCCCTATCGTCCCGTTTTTATTTCCCGGATCCTAATATATCCGTGGACACGACATATTTCGTGTCCTTTATCGTTCCGGTCTCGGCCCACGGGTATTTATCAACCGCGCGATATCGCATTCGAATGATTATGCCGTCGAGATTGTCTTTTTGAAATTCCCACGGGGCTCCTCCTCCCCCGCGCATAATTAATAGATCGTACTACGCGGCGTGGGGCCACGAAGTTAATTTCTTATCGCGGCGAAAAAGGCGGTACACAGAGAGAACGGTTTCTTTGGATTTAGTATTCCTATTTATTTGGTTGAAATTTGTTTCATTGAAACAATATATGCTTATACGAAACATTATATGTTTTGAATAAGAATTTTGTTGTTTTATTCAAACAATCTGTATTATTTGATAGAAAAAACACTATTATTTGAAGTAATATCTTTCAATGAAATAATTATATTATTTGGCCAGGCGCTTATAAAGTTTGGTGCTGCCACTAGATGGCCGCCGAACTCGTAAGTAAAATCGCGGCAGCTATGATATATAAGCGACCGCATCAGCAGACGCAGTTTAAGCATTTAATGGTCTATTTTTTATTATGGCTGAACATAGTGTACTAATTCAGTGTTTATCTTTCTTCTTTTAATGAAGGGAAAATTCTAATGTAGAGGGAGAAAGATGTATGCACATACATTTGTTTCACATATTTTCTATCAAACGATAATGTTGTTTGAATGAAACAATAATATCGTTTAGATTAAAGAGAATATTCCTTTCGTTTCAAACAAATATTTTATTTGAAGTAAAGCTATTTATTATTTGAAAGGTCAAATAATCATATTTGTTGAACCAACAATTGGTTTGTTTGGACTATTCCAAAAGATAAATTTCTTTGAATCTAATAAAATTTATTAAATTCAAAGAAACCGTTCTCTCTGTGTATCTCTATGCAATCTCGAGTATTAATTTTGGCATCTACAAGCGATTTTAGATTTCGCGGATCGCCCGGCCGTTCACATTCAATTTTATCTCATCGTAGACGCATTATTATATTAATCACGCGTAATCAGCGCGGCGGACTGAGCTCGGCTTAGTTACATTTATTTCTGGAATGCGAAAATTTCTAAGGATTCTCTCAAGATCTCTCAAAGATGCGTTGCGAGTGTTTAAAATGCGCACCTTGGAGCACACATTCCGACAGGAGCCAGCAGCCAGCGTGCAACAGGACATCTCTGCAACAGAAACGAAGGACGGATATTAGCTTCGTGCGTCAAGAGAACAGATGGAAACTATACAGCCCGATAAACGTCGGTCACGCTCGAGAACCTTTCCTCCACTTTTCCGCCGATACGAAACAGACGCGTGTCCTGCATTACGTCAGCATAAGAGGGGCAGGAAGGAGGAGAAAGGATCCGTTTTCAAGGGTTTACAGCGTGGGCACGTAAGTGTCAAAACTCCGAGGCCCCATCCCGGGGACCTCACATATAGTTTAGATTCGTAAGTTCCTATTTACAAAAACCAAAATTAGGTACGACAATTTTTTTAAGCGCGTTGATTGGCTACAAGCTAGAAAATTTCTAGATACTCGACAACTTTTCTATCCTGCAGCCAATCGACGCGCTTGAAAAGTTTGTCGTACGACAAATGTAATATTAGCCTTAAGCAAGGACCTAGTCAGTAAACCTCATTATGTCCTTTGTGCAGTTACGATATATCACAGGAGACCTGCGCGATGTCGTTAACGTTAGTTTAGTTATTGACTTATCGAGCGTTTCTACCACTGCAGATTAACTTTAATCTCAGCTTAAATTATTTCTTATCTTTATCTAATTTTTAAAACTAGAAAAAGATACAACGTGAGTTGAACCGAGATTAAAGTTCATCTGCACCACGCCCGTTTTCACCAACGTCGTGTAACTTCGATCTTATTGTTAGTTTAATTCATCCTTTGTCTCTCTCTTTCCCTCTCTAACTGCCCCCTCAGAGAGAGATAAAAGATGATTGAAACCAAGATCAAAGTTGAACGTCGTTGGTGAAAATCGGGATTGATTTAACTTCATCTACATAAAATTATGAAAAATTATTTTCTCTCTCTCCTCACATTTACGAACGCGAGACAATCTTACATTTGTCACTGCGATAACGTTCATCGTTAACGGCGAAACGATTGTATTTGCGATAACTTTTCTGTTTTTCTACAGAACGTGAAGTAAAATAAAATGGGACCGAAGTCGAGACGTTTGTCGCGGACGTTTCTCGCCGGAGGTCTTAAATATTAAAGCTTCCGTTCTCCATCTAACGACTGCAGTGGCGTGCAGTCGAGGAACATTCCGTGTGTCCCCTTTCTTCCCAGCGTCTTCAATTATTAAACGACCGGGTGGGGAATTGTCCGGTACCGCGCTCGGATCGAACAATCGAACGAGATATCCTGTCCTTCGTTCGAGGCCCCTACCTTTCATACTTAACGACGAAACTTCGGAGCTTGTTTCAGGAGAAAGGCTGCTTTTCGCGTCTCGGGCTTATCGCCCGGTGGACAGTTTGTTGCCCTTACAACGCCTCGATTGTGACGTAATTACGTACCGCGCCCGGCCCCGCGCGTTTATTCCTGTTTCTACGTTTCTGACGTGAATGGCTGTCAACGGCTCCTCCCAACGTGTCGCGCGTTTGACGTGAAAGATCTTTAACGACTTTAACGGGGTTAACATGCGGGTTCGATCAAAGTGACTCGTGTGAAAGGGGGGGAGGGGGAGGAGGGGGCCTTTTGAATGGCGACTGAAATCGTAAGGGCCGCCGGCCGCGCCGAGTATGCGCTGCGTTACAATGAAGCTAATAGATACCAATTAACAGCAAATTGTTGCTCCCACCCTTGCCTCGCGCTTCACTTCGAGGAATCCTTCGATTCCGGCCCGTGCACCGGCGTAGGGTGCATTTTATTTTTTTTTACAATCGACATAATCTCCAGTGAAAATGAAGCGAGACGAACGTACATTCATGCAGGATAAAATTTTCCAAACAGAGAATAAATAGAGAATAAATAGAGAATAAATAGAGAAGAGTCCCCTATTATGAGGTACGCTCCTAACACGAGATAGCTGGAGGCTTCTGCCTAAATTAATAGGCATCGTCTGTTCCACCATGAATTTCTCGCCCTTGGACTGAAATTTGTTCAGTGGAAAGTTCCTTGTTAGATGCAATCGTTGCGAAAACAAGATTTGTGATCGAATCTGGATGTTGGAAACCACCTGCTATATCTCATATTAGAAGTCTAACTCGTGATAGAGGAGTTTCGTCTATTGAGGCCCGTGTCCACGATGCTAGAGCTTGGTCCAGGTTTCAGTCCCGAGAAATGTGTAGCCAATCAACGTGCAGCTTGTACGGAATAGCTGCAAGTTGACTGGCTACACATTTCTCGAAACTAGAACCTGGACCAAGCTTTAGCATCGTGGACACAGGCCTCTACTCCGAGTGTCCGTGCGTAAAGTTACACGACGCGGGAGCGTTTGAATTTCACGACGCTCGCGAAGAATTATAATTACGGCCGTATCGTCGGGAATGGGGAATATGGGGAATGTCAGCCGCGCCTGGGATCGTTTGCATTCCCGAGCAAACACCCGAGGGTGCTCGAGTCTCGAGGAACGTTCTCCTATTACAGAATAAATTACAGAATGTTTGGCTAGATATCGGTTTCGGTCACCGACACCTGGCACTTGTCCGTTTGTCACCGGGTTATTCACGTCCCGTTCCCGAAATACATGAGCGGGACGGGATGATTTGTGGAATCATATTCTCTCCGCTCTCCACACGCGGCTACTATTATAGATCGCGGGGACCCGCCGTTCTCGCCGCGTTTATCGCCCGCGACTTCGACCGCACGGCGGAAATTTTATCCTCGATCGCGCTTTATCTCGTCTCCCTCCCTTTTTTTCTTCTTCTTTTGTTCCTTTACTCATTACGCATGCGAGTGCATTCGCGACCACCTCGCAACGCCCGAGTCGTAAAAACTCGCGCGGGGTCGTTTAAGACGGGCCTTTAATCGAATCCTCGCCACAAAGAGCCTTGACGTTTCCACGTGAAATTCGCGCGGCGACAAGTGCGTCGCCGCCTTTAAACGCGCCGTTTTGTGGCTCCCGTTGCGGACGACACAAAAATAGCCGCGGCGTCGTTCGCGGCCATCCGGCGTTTACGCCGATCTAAACGGCCGGGGCCCCCTTCACTTTATCCCACCCGAGGAGCCGAAATGTTCGTGACTTTGACGAGAAACATCGGATCGACGAGTGCAATTCAAATCGCGCCGCTCGTGGAATACGGAACGTCTCGTTTCCCAGGGGCGACGCGTTAAAATTTATCGGCGGAAAAACGAGCGAGCGTGAAGGAATTTTTCAGAATAAGTCACGCCGATCTCAACCTAACAGTCGAAAGACGTGAAAGGTAAACTTAAAAAAAGAAAGAGTGAGCGTATAAGCGAGAGAAGATATTCGATCTCTCGATAACAAGAGGTGAAATTACGTAATTAACGATCACGTACGGTTAAAAATAGGCTCTTAAGGCTCTGATCTACGATGTGCTCCTTGGATCTGCATTCTATTTAATGAAGATTTCAAAATTATTCAAATGTAACTGGACGATATATTCCTTCATTTAGATCACAAACGCAACGTTTCGATCGTGAATTTCGACCCTTTTCAAATGTAAGACAACAATTCTATTTTATAGCCGATAAATCCTTTAAAAAAATGTATGCAACCAAACTAAGTGAAGTTTATTGTCGCCAGTGGTAATTAGACAAAGGGAGAATCCCTTTCTAAAAAAAAGATGTTACTTACCAGCGCGAGTCGTTAATACCGAACAGTTGAGGCCTCTTTTCCGCGACGCCGATTGGTTTTCTCGAAGCGCGGTGTGCTTCACTGCTCTTTTAGATTTGTAGTAAATGAAGATTTGCAATTTAGAAATATACATTTGTACACACCAACTAATGAGGTAAAATCTCTAATCTTAGTAATTAGAATTTAAGTAACAACGATTTTTGTTCCGATACATTTTCTCGATTGAACAGAATTAATTGTTAATTTAATCAATACTAATAAGTCCGCGGAATAATACGCAAAATGTAGCAACAGTCACGGAACAAAGTAATGTACAATAAAATATTAAGTACGGAATTTTCCATCGCGTAGGCAGGCCAACGAATTCTCAACGTTTTTTTTGTTGTTTTTCACTCGGCGCGGTATCGTACGACGATTAAGCGGGCCAACGAATTCTCAACGTTTTTTTGTTGTTTTTCACTCGGCGCGGTGACGTACGATGTTTTTGCGTGCCATCGTGTACCTGAAGGTCGACGCGCTATCACTCGCCCGCCGAACGTCGAGCCGGCAGGCAGTGGCGAGAGTCGCTCCGTGCGTGTTATTACTTTTGCCTTATCGGTTTCCAAAACTCGATCGCGATAAATGTAAGGATAAAACGCTATTGATTTGCACACCTTTACGAGTAACGAGTAACGTTCCTCGATTAATTATTAAGTTTCTACAACTTGTAATGAGGAACGAATTGCATATTGAGGCGACGGCTCTTTATCAACGCATACATAGATATTTCACGAGACCAACTCATCTAAAATATGAATGTAAACCGTGGTACTTTGTCGCGGTTACATCTCATTTACGCACCGCGCTTTTAATTGTCTATCGATTTCGTGTAATCCAATTCAAAAGTGATTTATCCATTATCCTATTCTTCCGAATCAAAAAGCAAGTTGTTAGTTTGAGTAATTTGTATGATAGCAATTGTCACGCGATATTTGTTAATAATATTTTGTACGTTTCGCGGTATTTCACATCGCGTACGAGAGTGCCCGAAATTTCGCGCGATCGATGATTTTCGCGAGTGTTGTGTAAGTGCCACAAGGAAATCTGAGAGGAGGAGGAGGCTCGGGAGGCATCGGGCAACGGCGGAGAAATGGTGAGGTAGATGTCTTACATTTTTATGTTATTCGCTACTTGTGCAAAATAAAGCATCTGTTTTTATTTCATTCATTTAAATGATTCGAACGAGAATTCGAATAAGTGTTAGAGACCAAACCATACGTATAAAGTTTTGTGAGTTCATATTTAAAAGGAAGACTTTTTCAGTATTCTCTATAATTATTATAATAAATACCTATTAAATAAAAAATATAAAGTATATTTAATACAATAATTTCGATTTTACATAATTAGCCTATAATAATCATATGCAT